ACCCGCCTCCACGCGGCAGTTTCAAGCCTAAATAATATATAAAAATTCAGTTCGTACCTCACAGGAAGCACATCACGTCTCCGCTACAATGAACAACCGGTTAATGCTGTTTAGGGAAATAATCGCTGTCCATTGTGAGAAGCATACGAAGCGAATAAATACACCGTGTGGCGAAAGTGCAGGATGTTTTGCTGTTAGAGCGGCCGCTGCGTGTAATTGTCGCTGTGTTTTGAAAGGCTGATGGAGATTTCTTGGCCGACACGCCATCACTCTGAGTGCTCGAACAGACAACTGACCGACAACTGAAGATGTTACCTTCGAGGATAACGAACTTTCAGCACTGAAAACTGGAAAAAGAGAAACTGGGCGGCTTAAGTGTGCCTTCTGTTCACAGCAGATGCCTGGACTGGAAGGAAGAGCGTTGCAGGCCAACATTCTCTATATGGACAAGGAGAAAGCGCGAACAACGTTTTATTGTTTTGTAAGGGAAATTTAGTTTCTCGTACTCTCCAGCACTTCGCAAAGCATTTTCGTTAAGTGATAAACTATTTGAAGAGTTCAGTATTCTGGGGCTATAACGCTGTGTAGTTCGGTATACGTCAACTGACGTTTCGGAGTAACGTGTCGCCTCCATCTTCAGTGTAGAAGAGTGAGCCATGCAAGAAACCAGCAGTAAAGAGGCGGCATATTACGGGTTACGTCATCGCTAGAAAATCTATTTTCACTATGTCAAGAGAAATAAGCGATTGTTACAGCGGACTGAAATACTAACAGCACAACACAACATCACTTCTGAAGCACCACACAGCGGTATGTTACTCTTAGTAATAACTGATTTCCGACGTCGTCCGTCGTTTGGCGTCCTGACAGGACACAGCGTCCCAGTGACTCAGATCAGCTGTTTCTAATGAACCCCAACTGAGCAGATGTCTTCCAAGCCTTACAGCTGAGGGTGGAAAGGGATCCGTTGTCCGAAACGCTGTGTTCTTTTCGGAATATCCGACGACGGACAGCGCCCAGAATCCTAGTGATACACGGCTACATGTTCAGTCATCATCATCAACAAACATCGCACCACTTTTTGACCATTAGTGACGCCCGCAGTTGAGACGGTATGCCTCTGTGCCTTACGAGTTTACTTGTATACTCAATTATTACATCATTGTGTGAGAAGTCGCCCATATTGGAGCCACAGTGTGCGCTTGCGCAGTTGTGATGTGAATATCCTCAGGTACGTCACGGCTAGGGCCGGAGTTCGTGGAACAATATCCTCTGCAAACTGTGCGCGTCGTGAAAGAGGTAAGGATGTAATACAGTAAACCTCGCTAACCCGGATCGAAATATGATAATTGCTGTTCACAGCTGAGTACATACATTTAAGAAGGCAGATGAACTACCTGTCTGTTCAGGCAAAACCTGACAGTTTCTTCAAACCTGCATCATTACGTTCAAAACAAATACAACTTCTGAGCCTTCTATCGATGAATAAATGTATTGTCTTTTTATAGTTTTTAAATAAAGGTTTACAATGGTATTTTTATTTATTTTCATCACCACTATTTATATAATTAAGTTTTCCATTTTTTGTTCTCTAAGTTTTCTTGTGTTTTAGGGCTACATTTTGCTTCACTAATCCGGATTAGCCGGATTTTACTGTAATTAAATTTGAAACAGCGTGTGAATAGGATACAAGGCAGTAGACTGAAAATTAATCATGGAGGGTAAAGAGGGTTAAGCTATCCTTGTAACAGGCTGTGAAGACCCATAGGATTTTGAGACGTCGAGGCTCCCACATCTTGTAGACACTCGGCTCACAGATGGTGAGATTGTCAGCCGGCCGCCCTTAACCCCCCAGGGAGATTCCTGGTATTCATTTCTGTTAAAGGCTGAGTCGACCTTAGGGCCATACTGCGGCTGAAAGGATTAGATTAACTGGCAAATGCAGTGACCCCATCGGAAATCGAACCGGCGACATTCCGGCTTGTAGAATAATGCCTCAACCAACTACGCTACCGCGTGCTCCAGTCGCGAATGGCAGTAGAGTCGTTGAAGACCCAGGAATAGGTGATGTGTGTTGTAACAGCGATCTAGCTGCTGACTGTCGACGAGGTTCATAGCAGTTGCTGTCAGATGTCTGCAGAGTCACGGAGTCTTGAGGGCAGCCTCATGAACTCTGGTCCACTGTACGTACATTACAAGATTCGTTCGTATGATCCTCAGAAAACGAGGGTGGAACTTTGCTAGAGCGCGTTAATCGGTTGACACTGGAGACGCAGTGTTTCCTGTGAGGTACAGATTGCATTTTTAGTATTATTTAAGTGGACTTCATACTTGAGAGAAATACGAACCCGACTTGCAGCCGATACCGTAGCATTACTCGAGTTATGTCTGTCGCGGAGACAGCCCAGACGTCTGGAAAACTTTAGCTAATGCCACTTTAGTAAGGGATTGAATCTCTGAGCATGGTTTGTTTTACAGTCTGTTGTGTGTTGCATCAGCTGGTGTGAGGGAAGATAAGCACAGTGAAATATTTGAAAGGTTGCTTCACAAGAGCAACTTTATATTTCTGACGATTGCACCCGAACTTCTGAACACCGTCGAGATAAGTTGCATAGGGCGCAGGGTCCGATACACAAGTGGAGTTGTGTAGGGTGCAGAACACATTTACTGAGCCGCCGGTATGTGTTGTGTAGTGTGCAGAACACATTTACTGAGCCGCCGGTATGTGTTGTGTAGTGTGCAGCACACATTTACTGAACCGCCGGTATGTGTTGAGTGCTGTGCAGAACCCATTCACAGAACCGCATCTTTGTGTTGTGTAGTGTGCAGAACACATTCACAGAATCGCCTCTTTGTGTTGAGTGCTGTGCAGAACACATTTATTGAACCGCCGGTATGTGTTGTGTAGTGTGCAGAACACATTCATAGAACCGCCTCTTTGTGTTGAGTGCTGTGCAGAACATTGGCCCTGTGTTTTTTATTATTATTATTTTGGCTGCAAATTATTTTTACCCCGTGACTTAATCAGTTAAGCATGACGTCAAGAAGACGTATGGGGGAGTGGAGATATAGCACCACCAGTCTTGATGTTTGCACTAGATAGAGGTGAGTGGCCATATTCACGCCCCGGCCGCACTAACCGAGGAGAAATTGTCCACTGGGTAGGCTGGGCGGGCCTCATGGAAGCTGTGGAGAAGAGAAAAATCACTAGCGTCTGCTGGGAATCGAACCCCGGTCTTCCAGCCCCGGGGCCCGTCGTTATACCAGCTGAGTTGTCAGAATTCACCCGCCGAGCAAGTCATGCTCTGTTACCGCACCCGGAACGGTTCATACGTTCGAGGAAACCTCCTCACCTGGGATGTGACATATTGTAGTCTGGTAGAAGTTTTTCGGTGTTTCGGAGCAAAGTACTACCTCTGTCTTCGAGGTCGCGTAAGCGAAGCAAGCAGGAGACATCCTGCAGTTAATGTTATGACGTGCACGTTGCTCCCCTTTCGTAACGACAGAAAGCAGGGTTGTCTGTTTTCTCCCTTTTAGCGCGTCCGAGACTTTACATGAAGTTATGCCATTAAACACCACTCCAGCGTCATGCTTTTTAATTCCCCACAGTCGGTATATGTTTATAACTTGCGGATGCGCGAACTTATGAGGTGGGAGCGCCTATTGCACCGCTTAATATATGGCAATAGATCATCGCAAAACTGGTACCGTCTGTTTAGGTATTCTCGTTGTAGACTGGATAAGAGTAGCATGGGGCCCATGCGTAATTTTCTTTTTGCTGGCGTTAGTGGAGAGCCGCTGGAGCTGAACATGTGGAATATTGGTACAGAGGTGAGCCGTAAATCAGAATGTTGTCTGTATGTCAGCTGCTGTGAACGCCGTGACGCTTCTAGAGTATACACGTATCTGCAACATTAGCGCAGTGAGCGCGACAGGTTGTCAATTCAGTTACTAGAGCGCTTGAAGGATATTGAAGTTTACATAAATTATGTTTTCGTTTATGTCGTATTTAAGATGACGTTGTTAGTATCTCGTTATGCAATGTCGAATGGAAGGACGATTAGCTCTAGTGAGTAATGATTCGGAGGGATTATCGAAGGAACTGGTCGTGGCCTATTTTGAGGAAGTAACCCGAAATTTGCATGTAGGGACTGGAGAAAGCCACGAAGAATGTCTGTCTTCGGATGGAAATTGAACCCTAGACTTTCCTAAGCAGGAGAGGTGACCACTGTGCCGCACCGTTCTCTGACAACAGCACCAATCAGAGTGTGTTACGTTTACCGTCTCGGAGTGGATGTGTTTACTGATGACGCTCCCGGGAAATCGGCTGTCCTGACAAGTTTCTCGTCGTTTTCCTCAGTCACTGTATACAAATTCTGGGATAGTGCCTCGATTGGGCCATAGTTGTTTCCTCCCAGATCCTTCCCACTTCGTCGCTATGTAGTGCAGCTGCCGCGGGCGTCGTGAATCACTCACAGAAATAATGAAAATGGCCGAGAACGATCCCACTCATGGGTCGTTGTAACGCAAGTTCCTCATTATGTAGTTGTCTCTAGCGTGCTGTCACTTCCTTCCTCCAGGTTCCAAACATTGTCCTCGACCACGCTCTGTCTTCTGGGATGTGACGCCGTGCAGTCCACTGAAAGTTGTGGCGGAACATGTGTCCTATAGGCGACGAACAGTCCCCGAATTTGTAGGCACACAGGTGCTGCAGCTTTATGTGACATGTTGAGCGTCACATTTTTGCTTAAAATGGCCGATACTATGACCTCCCTGGAGCACTCTGTATATATGGTGGGGGCGGTGAGACTGAGTCCACTTCACTTGTTATATCAGCGCCGGGTCATCATTTGCCTGGCAGGGTTGGAACCCGGGCCGCCGCGGTGAGAAGCTTGTGTTGCGTGTGTCCGTTCCCTTACACCAGGCGGGCGCTGCTTGTCGCTCTGCTTCAGCGATAATTATTATTATTGTTATTAATTACTCATTTCTGATTATTGCAGCGAAGAACGGCGTTAGCGCGACTACTGTTGTCAACATGAAGACACCGACAACCCGCAAGCAGGCGTCGCGACGCATTACTGCCAGCAGCGGACAGAAGCCTGCGCCATTGAGGGGTGAGTTGAGTATTGTTGCGGGGTGCTGCAGTGCCAACGGTGAGGGTTCATATGCGAGCCCCTTTGCGTTGGCTGCGTTCTTCTCTGCGTTATGAACACGACAAGCTACGGAGATTTTTCCTTTGTAATGGTGGAACTTTACATAAGGAGTGGATCTTCTGGTGTGTAACGGCGTGAGCCAGACGTTTCGGAGGAACATATCGCCTCCACCTGTACTGTTGAGCAGTAACCCAAGCTCAGCTGGTATTTTGCCTGGCACGCACTTCGACCCTCAGGATAGAGGCGGTATATTTTTCCGAAACTTCGGGCTATCTTCGAGCTACACGGCGTTACGTCCCTGTTACGTTACGGCCGTGCTGTTCATAGTCACCGTCGTAAGGACCTCAGATCCAACAAGAACTATTTGTTCCGCTCTAGGAAATTTGTCGAAATGTTTTTACGAGTAGGTCCTTTGGTAGGCAGTGTATGAAACATATGTCACTTGTCCTGTGAGCGTGCATGCATTCCTTGTTCAGAACCGCTGGCCCAGTGGTTGATAGGAGGAACATAGACCGAGCGTGTTCGAGAAGAGGTTGCTGAGGGGAATATTTGGACCGAAGAGAGATGTAGTGACGGGAGGTCGGAGAAAACTGCTTAATGAGCTTCATAACTTTTACTCTTCTTCAAATATAATTAGAATGATCAAGTGAAGGAGGGTGAGATGGGCAGGGCATGTAACACGATTGGCGGGGAAGAGCAATGCATATAGGATATTGGTGGGAAGGCCAGAAGGAAAGAGATCATTAGGAAGACCAAGACGTAGGTGGATTGATAATATTAAAATGGATGTTGTGAACACGGGAATGAACTTTCGGTTTCCATAAGATGTGTGGGAAGTTCGTGAATAGCAGCACAACTGGCGGCTTCTCAAGAAGGGCGCAGCGGCTCTGCTGCTCTCCTGCAGGGGTTGTTAATCGGATCAGCGCTTGATTGCAAGTGACGACTGTGCTGACCTGTCGACACTGCTGTGGGGACGTGGGGCCCAGATGAAGCACACATAACTGGGCTGTACCTTCTTAAAGCTAATTTTATCAAATTTGTAAGAATTTCTCTAAGCAAACACGAGGCCCAGATTTCTCTTACTAGTAGTTGACGCCCCGCCCGTATCTGATAAATTTTATTTACAGTGATCTACTTGTAAACATGCTTTTAAATGCAATTTTCAAGGCAGGTACAGGGGGGCTGGTGGAGTCCAGAACTTGTATGGACGTTGTGGAGTATGGAATGTTTGCCTCTTCCAGGAATTGAACCCCCGGCCGTTGCGGCCGTAGCCCACCGGTATGCCGATTGAGGTACCCCGGCTGAAATTTTATAAATGAAGACTTCATTAGACCTCTAAATATGTATATATTCCAGTTCATATGTTCTGCATGATTGTAGCATGTAGAGCCATTACTATGGAACGACCACGAGATAAGCAAATATACCATAGCTGTTTCAAGGCAACGGCTCGGTAAACACATTCCCGCGGCAATGAATACGCATGCAACTGTTGGAAACGGTGTTTTCTACTCAGTCCGTGCAAAGGGGTCCTAAGGAGGACAATTGAAGCAAGATAGTTCGATTGGAAGGGAGCCGTCGTTTGGAAAGTTCTTGAGTCAAGAAGCAGAGGAATAGCCGTTGTTAGGAGCCGTTACGAGGACACGGCTAATGAAGACTTCAGCAGACTGAGAACACTAGTCTCTGTGCATCAGCGATTTGTAAAGTGTGAATTAGCGATAGCACTATAGTTACTTGTAGTTACGATCTGTAAGTGTTCAGTAAATGCAATTACCAATCCAAACCCCGTCTGTAGTCACTGCATAATACGTGTACGTGACAATATGTTTGCTCATCATACACAGAACTGCAAGGTGAAGTTGCGTCTCTGTATCATCAGTCCATACAGTTCTAGTCTTCAGTCATGAGTTGTCCTGCTTCTGTGTGTATTGCCATCTGCTCTGCATGGCACTCTTCTTGTCAAAGTGTCACGAATGAGGTGATAAAATGAGGGATGGTGCCATCCCTCTGTGAAATTATTGGTTGAAACTGGTTCCATAGTTCTGGTGGGTACCTGTCAAGTCAGGCAGAGCTTCGGGTGAAGAAAGGAGGTCAGAACACGCGGGAACTTCCTGTGGTGTGGACTTCTGTTTTCAGTTCTCCCCTGTCAGGAGTCAGGCGGGCACTCACAGGCCTGTCTCCTCAGCTGACCTGAACATACTCCGTCTGCGTGCGCAGCGTCGACCTCTGTTACGAATAATGTGTAGCCATTATTTCGGCTAATAAACCGCAAGGGACATGCTGATAGTGCCAGGAATTTATGACAACAAAAATAAAGTATTTATTGCGGGGGGGGGGGGGGATAACAAACAAAAGCTGGGTGCAGCAAGCAATATGTGGCAGTTCGGTGAGAAGTCACTTTGGACGAAACGTTCCTTGCGTTAAAACCTCTGCGCCTGACGTCCTCAGACTCCATGATATTGTAGCAACCCCCGACAACCTGAACATATGAATATTATGTTGCTCTATGATAGTTGTGTTTGTGATGTTGTACCCGCGGCCGTAATTGAGAAGAATGTTGGGCCCTAGGGGCAGGGGGACCAGCGTCTCACATTCTTTTTTGTTTAAGCTCCGAATACAAAATTTCATGGAAATCTCTTCAGTAGCTTTGCAACTTGAGGACGGACAGCCCTGTGACGCAGCACACGCAGTTTCCCGAGCCTTCACTCCGACACGCCAGAGTCGGGACATTCGCGCGGGACAGGGGGCACAGGAAACGGAAGTCGCGCTGCAGACGGTGAGAAGGGAGTGGCCTCAGGGTTTCTCAGCAAACTGATTAATCCTGTGGATACTGAAGTTCCTCCGCGTGATGTGTAAGGCCGAGTTCCTACCTCAGTGCATCTCCGTTGCGAAGACCAACCGGTTAATGTCTCGTAGGGAAATAATCGTTGTTTATTGTGAAACACGAAACTATACTCTGTGGGCGAATCAGGAGTTTATTTTGAATATTAGTATAGGTGGTACAGACAACTCAAAACCTGATCCAGGAGGAAATTAAAAGGAGACTGAACTCGGGTAATTATTATTATTTTACTGCAATTGGGTGTTCACCCGGTGGCAGTAGAACTTACACTGATACAGACAAGGAAAGTCTATAACATAAGGGAACAATACAAAACAAAATACATACAATGAACAAGGTCCGCTGCCTAAAAACATAGAAATTAGAATATTGTCACGTGTTGGGTATGTCACGCGACAAATAACTTCAAGTGGGTCTCGGATTTAGCGAATCTTTATCGGACACTCACACTTACACACCATACAATTATCACCACTTGCAGTGTCACTTGACTTCTGGCCCAGTACTCCAATGCGACGTCTCAGCTCTCCTTTGCCGTGGTTGGATCTCAACTGCCTGTGGCGGCGGCTTTCTGAAGACTGTCTTCTTGCTGTCTTCTGTCTCTGTAGCTCTCGGCTTATGTAGGTGTTCTGCGGACTGGATACCAGACACCATTCCTCACTGTTTCGTTTCTACTGTCCGCTGTTACGTAACGGGCGCAACGAACTCTGTAGTTCATCTCCGGGGAGACGCGTCCGTTGCTTCGGGAACGCTCCTTATAGATTACACCGGTAACGCGTTTCGTCTCACCCGCTGTTACTCAACGACAATTCGTTGCTACGATCTGTCGCTGCGGGAGCTCCACAGTTTCCACGTATTCGTTGTCGTGGAAGTGTCCGTTCCGATTGTAGCGGTTGTCGCGGCGATGGACGTAAGGTAACGCGTCACAATATGTAGAACTATAATTTTGCCTGTTATTCTGTATGGGTGTGAAACTTGGTCTCTGACATTGAGGAGGAACACAGACTGAGGGTGTTTGAGAACAGGGTGTTGAGAATATTTGGACCGAAGAGGGATGAAATGACAGGAGGTTGGAGAAAACTGCATAATGAGGAGCTTCATAACTTGTACTCTTCTCCAAGTATAATTAGAATGATCAAGTCAAAGAGGATGAGGTGGATAGGGCATGTAGCACGAATAGGGAGAAGAGAAATGTATTTAGGATACTGGTGCGAAAGCCAGAAGGAAGGAGACCATTAGGAAGACCAAGACGGTGGGTAGATAATATTAAAATGGATATTAGATAGGATGGGGTGGTATGAACTGGATTGATTTGACTCAGGATAGGAACCAATGGAGAGCTCTTTTGAACACAGCGATGAAACTTCGGGTTCCATAAAATGCTGGGAGTACTCCATAAAGGTAGTTATGTAGATGGTTCAAATAGCCTGCAACTAGTGCCGAGGCCAAGAGAACGTGGATCTATACATCCATTCTCCCATACGCCTTCGTGGCGTAGTGCCTGTACTTTGGAGGGCCAACAGAAAGCAGCACAAGCAAGGTACGAGCGACGTGGTCCTGTACAGTTTTTCATGGCGGAAGGTGAGCTGCGTTGCAACGGGGCCTGCCTTGCTACCTTCACGTGCGCGGGGACGGAACACGCGTGACCAAGACGAAACAGAACGCAGTTTTACTCGTTCAAAGAAATTAAATCATTTTGTGTGTGACATTTTAACAGGAACCAAATTGGTTTAACCCCCTAGAGCCCAGTGGTAACTACGTGTATCAAAACTCTTAATTCTGACCGCAGTGTGCATGTGTATGTTTCCTATGAGGTACAAAGTGGATTTGTATATATTAGTTAGAACACACTTCGTCTTCAAAGGGTCATTTGCAGACCTGGTACCCAGTAAAGTATATTTCATACATACCTGACGATGGCCCTGCATTTGCATGAAAGCATGAATTAGGTAGTAATGGAACCAGTAACTGTGAAGCTGCGTTGAAGGCTCTTGTGTGTTTGCCAAGTAAAGAAGAGTTGCTCTAGTGTCATTCGAAGTGAGCCATTGACTAGCCTCAGCAGCTCATGTACGTAAACACACCCACCCACACAGCAGCAGCCATACCGCGTGGCCACTAA